GCTCAACACAGGCGACATTACTGTAGGTTCCGTGTCTTAATGAAACATGACACACGGTCGCTTTATAGATGGTTATATTGTATTTATGTTGTACTGTACTGTAGTTCGTATTTTTCATATCTGATTCAGTTGATAATACAGAACGTTGGTTAGCCTTAGATTTGTTTGATGATAATGCCGTAAGGTCTGACATCAAAAACTCTTTCAGCTTGATCTTCCATTGGTGATATCCAGTAGTCAGCTCCTACCTCCGTCTGATCTGCCGGAATGATCTTCATGTGGCCACCAGCCTTGTCAGGATTAATTCGATTCTGCAAGGCGATCTTGTATCTTTTCCCTTCAAATTCGAAAATCTGTGCGTAGAATTCATCGATCATAGCCAAGGAAGGACTGCTGTAGACTCCTTTGATGTACTCTGCCTCAGGACCCTCTCTGAACTTCCGGACAACTTCACATTCGTCTCTCATCTTCGTTCCATGGTAGGAGACAGGCCATTCTCCTGGCGAGGTTGCCGTTCGTATACCATTTGGCCCAAGCCATGTGTTATCTCCGTAAACACCAGTAACAGCAACTGCGTACCTATACCAACCACATGGACGATGATAGCGATAATTTCCTCTCATGTAAACATCATTTCCATCCCTCTGTCTCGTAAAATCGTAATTGTAACCGGAAGCCAGTAAAGACGTATCCATTTCAAAGACGCCATCTAATTTTCTGTCTTCGCTCAAAATGATGTAGTTTACAGTGCTACCATTTGAGATTCCTTCCATCGCAACCGTCTTCTCGTCTTCCAGGATCCTCCTATCAAAAATAAATTTTAGTGTTTTTGATATTTCTAGCTTGTCGCTCGTCATTTTCTTCATCTCTCCAATGGTAGTATCTGTCGTCACTCTTACCATAGTCGTTGCCCCAGTCAGACCTCGAATATTCACCTCGATTTCACCACCAGTCGTCGCAGGCATCTCCCTTGGAACCATGGAATGGGAGATGTGAAAGAGGTCGTGGATGGTGAGCTTTTGTGGAGCATTTGATGCCCCATCTGTAGCTGCACCCGGAGGTAGAACCTCGACTCCAAATGATGCGGAGAACCCAGCTGCTAACAACTCCAAAGAACCCAAAGCAGACATTTCACTGAAAAAAAAAAATACATGTTTTGTTTGTTATTGGCATGGTATTGCTGTCTAGATAAAGATAAAATTGAATTATCTGGTACGGTATGTGGCCCAAACGGCCACTTTGTATATTCTTAGTGTAGGTCAATGTGAAATCTCACTTATTTCAAACGGATCTTCGAACGAAGATTTTTTGTTTTATAAAAAAATATATATAGGCCTATGGATGGAGCTCTCAGTGAAATGATGACATGATTAAATTTCCTCGGCCCAAAGAGATTCGCCCTGACAACCAAGTGAAAGGACAGACTACAAAAGGTACCGTACTTTACGGTACGAATAGGCTGCTGCACCTTGGGTAACCTCCAAAGGCACAGTAAGCGCGTACACACAGGTTAGTGACACGCACTGCACTGTAAACTTTCATGCATTGTTGGTCTTATAGTGAGGGTGAGAGTCATATCCCACTCAGAATACAGTCACACTGCCGCCTTTACAAAATTCCCAAGTAAGTGAGTCAATTCACAGAAAACATAGTACAAACTTAAAACATTTTTTTTCCGCTTTTTTTTCTTTTTAATTATTATTATTGAATATCAGTTGATTGAGTCGGTCAAAAAGAAAGTAGGCCTACAAATTGGTTTTTCCATATCTTCTATTTATAGTTAGCCTGTCGAGTTGGAGACACACTATAAATGTAATTTTCCTGAAATTTGTACAGCATTTATGTCTTATTTTGTCCTGTGAATCGAAATATACTGGTGGAAGTACATGAGCCCCAGCGGTTCGCTTTTTCCCTGATCCCACTAAGGGTCCTTCTAAACGGTCCTTAGCCCCAATTGCCTCAGGAGAGGGTCATAAGTCATAAAGCGATTTCCCACCTACCTGAATTACCGCACGTATTAATATATAGAATAACAATTACTGTAGCTTGATGTAGCCATGACATTCTGTACAGTAGGCTATGTATATTGAATCGCAATGACACATTTTCAAACAAAAATAATCCACAAGAAATTCGGCCTACAGCTAAAATCCTTGGCCATAATCCCAGTGAATTGACCGGAGTGTATGAAATCCTAAATTCAGTCCCCCGGGCAGAACTTTAGATAGAGGGAGCCATGTCACCGGATTTCTTAGGGGGTGGAGTTCACATTAACCACAAATTTTTGGCCGCCTCGACCACAGGGGTAGAATTGCATCGGTGCCACCGCGGTGGCCAAAATCCAATAAGACACCGGTATTTTGTCCATATTATTCCTAACAATAGGCCTACATCACCGGTGGCCAAAATCCAATAAGACACCGGTTTGTCCATATTAATCATGGAGGCCCATATATATCAGATAAGCGTTTCTGCAAACTCGCTTGCCATAAAACAAACATTATTCAAAACAACCATGAAATACTTATGGATACGGAATTGGAATTGGACTACTTACGATATTATTCGATTAGACTAACCGTAACACTCAGAAACCAAGCCTGAAAAAGCTGTTTTGAAGCCTGCAGGAGGTATAGGCCTAGTCGATCTGTATTTTAAAGTGAAAACGTATCGTTGTTGCAGTCTGGGTTTTCCCCACAGTTATAAATAGCGTATTTAGTCACAGTGCAAGGTCAGCAGGTAACCTTCGTCGAGCCCGTAGTGTGCATTTTGAAAATCCAATGAATATTTTAATATACTTTTAAATTATGAATATTTAATATAATTATTGAATACTTTAAATCCTCAATTTAGGTTGGCTACATACTGGTATTGATGATCAGTCACGAGGACAATAACTCGATGTTTTCACACTACAGTTTGTGTTGTGTTAAGACAAGAATACCTCCATGAGACAAGTAAGCATGAGATTGCGAGTAAAAAATAGGCCTACTGTAATCGGATTAATGCCAGTTTTCAAAATATATTAAATGTTCCTTGCTGCTATAAATTACTCACACTAGAGTTCAGAAATTATAAAACAATAATAGGCCTACAGCTATTTGTGCTAGTCTGCTCTAGACATCGCTTCCGCAGTCTGGTTTTCCCCAAAATAATAATCTGTATTGTCGTGTCAAAGTGCAAATGTAAATACAATCAAGGAATACTTTACGTTGAATCGAACCAGGGAGTTGTTGATAACAACTCCCTGATCGAACAATGATAATAAAATTAAAAATGTAACAAATGTGTATTTGCGCTTAACTTTTACATCAATCAACGTAGTGGATAGAACTTGGATAGGCCTATATTATGATACCGAAGACGTCAGCCTTTGTTGTATACATACATATATACATACATACATACATACATACATAT